TCGTATCTTCTATCTCCGCCAGGCGATGAGCGACGAAAGCTTTGTACGCGCGAGGCTCCGATCTTATCCACACCAGTGCAGTACGGGAGTCGCACCAGTATGTCTTGCCTGCTATGTCGCCATCGTGTTCATCGATCACAGTCTGCGCAAGACGAGCTCCCAGCAGTGCCGCTTGTAACTCGAGCCGTGGTATGGAAACTGGTTTCAGTGGTGTTACGCGGCTCTTGGCGGCGGCCAATGATATGTTAACGCTGCCGTCTGCTCGCTCCGTTCTCCAATACACTGCTGCTGCGTAGGCCTCCTCGCTTGCGTCGACGAATGTGTGTAGTTGGCGCGTCGACACCGGGTTGTAATCGTAGCATCGCGGTATTCTTAGTTGTTCTATGGCGTTAAGTGAAGTAATCCAGCCTTCCCATTTTTCTTTTAATTCTGTTGGCAGAGGGTCGTCCCAGTCCGCCTTGTAACGCCATGTGTCTTGAAATATTCTCTTCGCTGGGGTGGTCACCGGTGATATTAACCCCAGCGGATCAAATAATGCCATTATGACGCTCAACGCTTCTCGTTTAGTTGGCAAGCGTTGTTTTTCTTTTACGTCGGCAGGCATCTTCATATTGTTAGTATTGAATCCAATATGATCGCTTTGTACATGCCAGAGCAGCCCTAGCGTCTTCTCAGTTTCTTTTCCGCCCAGGCACACGGTCGCGTCGTGTTGTCTATGCTCTGTCGTTATTTCTTCTATTGTTTTTTCTTCGTTCGATGTCCACCCGCTGAGTACGAATCCCGCTTGTTTGTGGACGTGATCGACTGCTTTTACTGTTTGCTGAGCTTCCGTGACAGAGTGGAAGCTCTGCAAGTAGTCGTCCATATAATGGTTTCTTTTTATGGCGACCGCAGCTTCTGGGTACGCTTCTGCATGTTCTTCAGCATTTTTATTTTTGATGTATAATGCTGTGCATGGTGATGATGTCGCTCCAAAGATGATTGACGTCATCCTATATTCCTCCGGTTGGTCCTCCCGCCGCTTGCCTCTCCACAAGAAACGTAAAACGTCTCTATCTTCTTTGCGCACTTTAATCTGCATGAACATTTCTTTTATATCGGCGCTCACTGCATACGGATACTGTCGGAACCTCATGATCACTCCGGGCAGTGATTGTAATAAGTCGGGCCCCGAGTGAAGCATATCGTTGAGACATATTCCGGCTGTCTTCGCTGCGGCGTCGTGTACCAATCTCGGCGGTTTGTTCGGTTTCGCAGGGTTGATGACTGGGAAGTGTGGCAGATACCATGTCCTTCCTTGCGGCGGTGGCATTGGCGCGCGCTCTGCGTAACCCGAGTTGAAGAGGTTCTCGATGCGTTCTTCGTACTGTAGCTTGAGATTGCTGTCTCGGTCGAGCCTCTTCTCTAAGGTGTGCAGGCGCCTTTCCGCTTCTTTATAATTATTTGGTATTTGGAAGTCCTTTTGTTTCCACAACAACCCTGTCTCGAATCTGCCGTCCGCTGACCTCTGGCTGGTTTCGTCCAATATTTGCATGGCTCGCTGCTCGGGATCTTCTTTCGGTCTTCTCGGCTCGATGCACAGCGACTCCAATTTGAAATAATTTTTTATTTCTTCTTCTATCGGTGGTGCATCTTCCCTCTGATGTAGTCTGCCGCAGAAGGTGACCGTCGACGTCAATGAGCTATGACAGCCATGCAGAACCCAGCCCAGGTTGGTGTATGAGGCGACTGGTTGGTCTCGACGGCCGACGCGCAGTTTTCTAGACACTATGAGGTGCCAGTTATCTTGCCCGATTAGTACTTTCGGTGAGGCGCGTTCGTAGGTGATATCCTCTTTGATATCCAACAGATGTGGGCAATTCCCCAAGTGATCTTCATTCACGGATTCTGGCGCGAAGTCCAACCGCTCTACAGTACGCGCTGCTTCTATGTTGTGTTCTTCTTGCGCGTACGTTCCTCTTATTTTAAAGCTGACGATCTTGCTCTTCTCGTGTTTCACCTCCGAGCCGACCCCTTGTATCCACATTGTGTGGGCTGGGCCGTCGGCGCCGATGACGTCGGCGATTGAGGCATCGACTAAGGTGACCGTGCTCCCTTCATCCAATAATGCGTATGTTTCGACGCAGCTTAGCGGCCCCCTTATTGTTACGGGCGCAATCTTTAGGTAAGCGCGGCGGTGCTTGTACGGTCGAGTCGCTGTGTTGACCTCCTTTGCCGATGTTGCGGTTTCCATAGCGGGTTCTTTTTCCATTACTGCTGTTCTGTCGTGATGCAACAATTTATGGTGTTTCATCATGCATCCGCCTTTTCCGCACGGTGGAGCTTTGCACAGTAATCGACGATGTTTGCCTCGCAGACAGCGGTAGCAGATATTGTACTTCTTTGCTACTTCCCATCTGTCATTTGTGGACAGAGCGGCGTATGACTTGCAATCGGGCAGTTTGTGTTCTTGTTTGCATTGAGGGCAGCGTTCTTCATATGGTTTCTTGCTTGTGGCGAAGGCACGTTCTATTTTTCTCGGTCTTCGCTCTCTCGTTTCGCTGTCCTCTGCGATGAACTCCGGCAAGGCATACGCGCTGCATTTATCCGCTTCTTCGTTTAAGAACATTGATATCTTCTTAAGCTCTGGGATATCTTCTTTCTTTCTGGCTGCATAGTCGTACCATTTGCTTTTCAATATGGGCGTGAGTTTGTCTGTGATAACTCGCGTCATTTCTGGACTATGCAGATAGTGTGCTTTCTTGAGTGCTTCCACGGTGCCCACTACGTTCGCTATGCGATTTGCGAATATGCATAGCTCCCTGGGATTGTCCGTAACTTTGTTCAGCAGCTTCAGCTTCTCTATTTCCAAGTGAATTAACGCTTCTGGTCGTCCGAATCTCCTTTCCAAAGCTTCTATTATAATTCTGGGATCTGGTTGGCTTATAAGTAGGCAACCTGCGGCTTCTTTTGCTGTCCCTTTTAAGCTTCGGCGTATTCTCGCTATGTTTTCGTTCGCCGTGAAGTACTTTGAAGATTCTTCGTACATTGTCTTGAAGCTGAGCCACTCCTTGCTGCTACCATTGAATGAGGGCAGCTCTTGTATATATTTCGGCGGCTCCCTTGTGCTTCGTACTGCTTGTGATAGAGCAGCGGCTAAGGTAGCGACGTCGATTTGCTGCTGCGCCTGTCCATAGTCTTCTTTCTGCGGCGTGGTATGTTGCGGAGCGTATTGCGGCGCACACTGTTGAAGTACGGGTGGTGCGATCTGCAGTGCTGGTTGCGGCGTGAAGTACGACGTGGGTTGCGGCGCAGGCTGCGGCGCGGGTTGTGGCGCGGGCTGAGGCGCGGGTTGCGATGTAGGTTTTTCTTGCAACCATGTACTAATGCGCACTGATGCCAAATCGTCTTCTATTTCTTCATCTTCATCGGTTGATCCGGCTTCTGCTTGTAGTCGCTGCACGTGTATTTCTTGCAATTCTGTTCTTGCTTGCAACTGAGCCTGCTCGAGCTTGAGTTCGGCTAACCGCTCTTTCGCCTCTAACTCCGCGAGGAGTCTCTTGCGTGAGGCTACGGAGCGGCGTGACCTAGTCTCGCCGGGCTTCAATGTGCACTGCGATCTTTGATCACCCTCTTGCTGGGTTTCTTCCGTTGCGGTTGTTCTATCGGTTGCCGAGGTAGCGGTCGTATCGCTGACCGTTGTGGTTTCGCTAGTGGTGTTTGTTGAACCACTAGCGGCTGAGTCGCCCCCGGAGGCCTCTTCTGTGGCCCCCTGGGTTGTTTGTTCATCCTTGCGACGCTTCGATGATTCTCCGTTGTTACTACGCGTAATCACCATTCTTCTTCACAATAATATTTTTTCGTTCTTGCGGTTTGCTTCTTTCTTCCGGCAATACCAAGACCGATATTGTCTTTTTCTTCTAGTAATCCGGCTTCTCGAAGGACCATTAATATTACGGATCGCCGTAATGCCGTGCGAAAAATGGAATAAAACGCGCTGGTCTTGCTTTTAACTGGAGGCAAGCGGCGGTGAGGAGGAACTTGTATTTTTTCTTTTCTTGCTGGTGCCTTTTCGGTGGCTGGAGAGCGACTGCTGACCCTAGCGGCCGGCCCGTCTTTTATATGATTTGGCCGCTGCTGGCCAGCGGACCCTTGCCTCACCCCCGCGCCTATCTTTATTTATTTAATAACCTTACAAACTAATAAACATAATTCACTATATAATATTCTTATAACTACTTGTTAGACTAGGGTGTACATATCAATATTTTTACTTATTTACAGGTTTACGTTATAATTTTCAGCTGCTTTAGGCGGAGAATCCTTCCCCCCGCCTCAGCACTATAAATATAAAACGTCGTGGCGCGGTGCGCGTGGCTTCATTTGCTCCGCGGCCGCGTCACGATAACATGCTCTTTGGTTACACTACTACTATTATTTTATGTGCCTAACGGCCTAATATATTTATTATATAATAAAGTAAACATTTATTATATTTAACAATTACAGTTTTCATTAGAAGACTATGCTAACTCTCCCTGTTCATACGGTGCCTTTATTTGGGAGAGTTATTGCACAGTTACAACTCAACCTTAAACTTAGTTATAATACAATCATTATTTTTTATCGTTCGATACAAGTAATACAATTATTTACACAAATTATAATTTAAATTCAACATAAGGTTGCGCTAGTCCCGCCGTATAACCCTTGCTAGTTGTCGAACCAGAGGCGTGGCCTGATAATTACACCGTCGTCATGGCTCCGCCCACCGCTCCTAGGTTGTTCAACTAGCGCCGGTTACAATAAGCATTTTCTTTCGTTTGTTTAATATTGTTGCGTCGTGCACAGTATTCGTATTCGTTGCATCACTAAAAATCGTAGATTGTAATTTTACTTGGTACCTATCTGACATAATAACTTTTTACTTAGCGGTATATTAATAAAAATTTTGATAATCCTAAAAAACTATAAATACATAATTAAACAGTATAAAAATTTAATATAGGTAAAAATATTACGTTTTTGTCCGCTACACGAAGCATGAAATATCTTCCTCTGTAATACAATTTGGAAACACGAGGCCAGTAATAGTTAGCGACCGTATGCTTCCCGCGTAAGAGCAACAGCCCGCTTGGCGCCAGTCCCAAAAAGTACTCCACGCTGTCCTCACCCTGCATTAAAGGAATAACATCTGTTAGAGTAATGTTAAAACGACATTTAATTTATTTATAAGTATCATGTTACTGACCAAGACTGGGTGTAAATCAACGCCATACATGTCCAACCATTTCACTTTATCTAAATAACTTAGTTCAGCTTGCGCAGGAGAGATGCCTCTGAAAAAGAACAATATGATTAAAATCTTGTACGTACGTATGTAATTATATTTATATTTCCATTTTATAACGAGTTTTAGTTAGTAAAGAATTTACATTGTGGTGCGAATCTCTACTTGATACAGTAAAGACCCTTTAAAAAATACACCACGGTGTATGGCAATCTCTGGGGACGTCTATGTTCATTAGTGTACCTGTGATAGGCTGTGATGACGATTTACTCATTCATTTTAAATTCTATATTCGTTACAATACGTCATTACATATTCAGATCGTCTACACGCAAAGAGTATTATTCGTTCATCTTACTTCAATAATGCTCCGACAATACAAATGCAAACAACGTAAATGGTGTAGTCAATGAAGTAATGACGTTTATCACACAATTGAATATAACAATGAACAATCAGTGGCGGCAAACTAGAGCGGTGCTGCATTTGAGAGTAAATAGGTAGGTATGCGTAATTTGCATGTAATTGCGTCTTTGTGGCGCTCTCCGACCGCGGTCTGCATCTTTGCATACTGAAAAATTTATTCAATTAAACGAGGAAGGTGGCAACGCTTCGTTTTCGAGAGGACTGGTGGCTTTTATTGCTATTAAATTGTCGCTCAATTTTTTCTCTCCTTTGATGCTTTAGGAGGATGAGATTTATTATTATTTTTAAACATTTCTAATATTACATATTATAGTTTATTACTTATAATAAATAAGTAATAAACTATAATATGTGTAATTATGTGCAAGAGAATTATTATGAATAAAGCCTTTATTCATTCATCTATGATTCATCAAAAAATTCTTTGAAAAGTGAAAGAAAGTTTACAAACGCCATACTCACGTCAGTGTTCGGTGAATTTCAACAGCTCGTGATTCCAGTTCCGGTGTTTGATGTGACAGCAGTCGGAATTCTGATACATAGCCCGGGCCATGCCTCCTTGGGTCATAATCTCCCAACTCCGCTATGTAAAAATATTAATTTTCAAGCATTAACACAAAAACACACATGCTCTGTCTAAAATGATCCATAGATACATAATTAGATTCATCTTTGTCCAGCCGTAGCAGTCCACTGCTGGTCATAGGCTTTTTCACTGTAGGAAGGATATGTTTTATTATAACTCTATGTAATCAGCTTGAAGCAGCGCAGAATAAAGAGCGCATTATTAGAAGTCTCGTACTTTTGACGCTGTTCCCCATATTTGTCTGAGTATTTTATATGTGGTAGATACAAGATGGCTGCATCGCCATCTATCAGAAGCTATAAAATCTTTCTCGTAGTTCGAACAGTTACTTCTTACGACACCCACGGAACTGAATTCTGGATGGTGGATTCTCCCACACCGCGCCGTCAACACATGGCATAGAGATTATTTTGTCATCATGAGAGTTTGTATCGTCATCGGTCGCTTTGATTATTCTTAATCTTTAATTACATTTTTGTTCAAACCCAAGGGTCTTACGTTCAAAAGTCATCCATAACGTACAGAAATATGTTAGTAATCATCAGTCTTACCCGTAAATATTAGCCTACCTTTGCTGGCGAATTGTTATTCACACAACAAGATGTGTTGTGTGTGACTTTGAGGTTTACCTTCATGGCCAGTCTATGTATTTAAAATTTTTATATATAAAAATTACGTGTCACGTTGTTTGTCCGCGATGAACTCCTAAACTCCTGAACTGATTTCAATAAAAATTTGTACAGTGCAGTTTGTTCCAACTTGAAAGATAGGATAGTTTTTATCCCGATAAGTGACTCTCAATGTTTTTTATTGCTAATTTCAGGGTTTTTTTTTGAAAAGCAAATGGTCGCCAGAAAGAGCAGAATAACGTCTGCCTGGTAAGCTAGTTAGACGATATAATATATTATATCGTCGTGCCGTGAAGTGGCGCTGTAAAATAATACATTACCCCATATCGTTCCGTGGGTGTCGTAAGAGGCGACACAGGCAAACTTTAAGCCGCTCCACCAAAGTTTTGTTACCAACTTACGTGTTGCGAACACGTGTTAGTAACAAATGTTTCTGTAATTACCTAGTGTTGGCAACAAAACTTGAAACAATGTCGGGAACCGTGTTTCCATTTTCGGCGACAACATCAAAGGAATACGCTTGTTGCAAACATTTGTTCCTTCGGTGGAGACGCTTGTTGGAAACATTTGTCGGCAACATCGGAAACAAATGTTGGTAACTTTTGTTGAGTTATTAACAGTTGGAAACATAAATGTTGTCAACATTTTTTGGTATATTGGCAGTAGCATCTTACTGCTAAAATTTCAAAATATTAAAAACATATCAAACATGGGGCAATCTATGGGGGATGCCTGTGTTCGGCAGTAGAATTTTGATAGGTTGTAATGATTATTATGATCATGGTAATTGATAATGTATGATATATATTTTCCCTAATATTAAAACAGACCTACTAGACTGTGCATTGTCAGTCCATAGAGATGAAAAGCTAAATTATCATTTTATAAGTATAATATTACTACTATTGCACTTAGTTTTTAGGTGACTCCCAAAAAGGAGGAGGAGGAGGTTTACAATTGGACTATATGTCTTTTTTTTGTGTATTTACTATGTTCCGCGATTTCTTCTCCAATGAGGGCTAACAATATTCTGCTCACCAGATGTCGCTAGTTGACACTGAGGTAAAGTTTTTTGTAACGCAGTGTAATTTAATTGAGAACATACATAAAACAATTCGTCAGTGGTTTGCTCTTTAATTTTTTGCACATTTTTAACATTTATTTTAATTTTTCTACTTTTGTGAATATCTGTAGTTTGGTTTATTTATTTTTAATCTTATTATTATAAAATATAGTTAATAGTACAGAAAAAAACAGTAACCTTTACATTTTATGAAAAAATTAACTCTCCTGCTATGAAATCTGTCAAATATTATACCTCACTTTCTAGTGGTGCCGCCCTGGTGCCAGAAAAAGTCGTGGATGCCTCCTTGAAACCGATATTTACGATTCTTTTTTTATTCAATAGGTTACACTTCAGGGTTTGTTCCATATGAAATTGGAGAAGAAATTTCACCCCTAAGGGTGGTAAAATTGGCAATAAATTTCTTAATGCAACTACTTAGGCGACATTGAATTGTGATATCACTTAGTCCACTCAAGAGGGTGACAAAATAAATTTTAACAAACAGTAAAGGCCGATTTCAAAGAACTAAAACGAAGAAAATATTTTTTTTGTTCAAAAAGAGCGCGGAGAAGTATTTTGACAGATTGTTTAATTGACATTGGCAAAGAAAAAGATGACCAATAAGAAAAATGTCGTAATGAAAATAATAGGATCGAGAAGTATACATACTCGTACTCGTACATATCTTCGTTTCGAATATCCCTCGCACGAAAAAGAAAGAATATAATTACTCTGACCTGGCTGAAGGAGACAGATAATTAAGTTAGTATGAAACATATTATAAGGCTACCAAAAAACGTTAATTTACTATTTGAAAGGAACATTGTCGTAGAAAATTCATTAATAAGATCTCCCTACACCGAATAAAAATAAAATCTACGTGCACGTTTCTTCTTAGTTACAAACAAGTGTTGGGACGCGAGGAGCAGACTAAAATTACTCATACTAGTGCCACAAATGTATAATGTTACGTTTTAACCCGTATTATGACAAAGGCTAAGTACAAGCTTTACAACGAACCTCAATTACTTCGAGAAAGCTCACGATGATTCATGTATCAGACAGAATTATCGTGAAAGCAAGAGTAATGTTGATTTATTATGATAATTTCGAAACTTTAATATTAAATGTGTAAATTAATAGCAGACATTAAAGATTTAAGACGCGGTCGTTGCTTTGTGGAAGTTTGCGGGTAAAAGGGTCAATAAAGTTTAATAACGAAGCATTAAGACAAAGAAATAACAGCTTCAGTAAATTTTATACCAAGCAATTTACTTAATGAAATATATATATATTCTTATTTACTATAATAATGGAAAAAGGGAAGCCATCATCATCACATTCCGTCCCGTGTGTGTTGTTAATGGCGCCTATGGACAATGCCAGAGAAATATTATAACTTTCGACAGTTGGCAGACGTAAAATATTCACGCAAAGGACAGTAGTGTCTGAAAAGTCTGGTGATGCGACTAGGGGAAAGTCTAGAAAGATCTCGTGGTATCTGGTAAGCGGCTGTTTAACAAATGGCTCGTATGTATATGTCAGATGTAAAATAAACAAGCGACGAAAGTGCGAGACGTCTGGCACTGTGATTTCTCATCCTAAGAGGATTATGCAGACCAAGCGTGACAATTTCAGTAAATCCGTATAATTTTAACGTGATAGAGTCATGCTGCAGTATGGTGTGCCTGCAGCGAGAATAGGTCAGCTCAACCTGAGAAAGACCAAACTCGCACCCCAAGTATCGTGTTTGAAATGGTATCATAAAGCTGCTATGTTTTGGATGATGAGTGTCGAGAACCGGTGATCATTTTGCTGTTAATGCGCCGTTTGATCTTAATTCTCAGGAGTGACAACGCATCTTCTTTTTTTAGGATAAGGGTGACAAACGAGCACACAGTCCACCTGATGGTAAGTGGTTGCTGTGGCCTATAGACATGTACATCTATCCTCGATTATGAATCAAAATGCAGATGCGTTGTCACCCCTGAGGACTAAGATGGAATGCCTCGTTTCCAATAAAATGATCTCCGCTTCTATACACTCACCATACGAAACACAGCAGCGTCAAAATGCTATTTTACGCTGGTATTCTGTGAGAGCATGGTTCTACCCCGGTCGAGCCGTCCCATTCGTGCTACAACTATACTATTAATATAGCTGCAGCATGGCCCTACTACGTATTTCGATTTTTTGATCAAGGATATATGTAGGTGTTTATGGGTCACAGCATCCATTTACCTGTCAAGTGCACTGTTTACTCATTAGTCATGCTTCTATTTACAAAATACCTACCTTCCTAAGCTAGGAGGAGGTAAAGTATTTTGTATGTGTACGTAGCTTAAGTTTCTGTACCTTTTTCTTATGCCTACGTGTGCAAATTCTGTCACATGATAAATTAACAAATCAGTGTATTTTCACTTTTATTTGATATTATATTTACCATCCATATTAATTAGCATAAGTTACTATAAAATGTTAGAGAAGCACCTATAATGAGTATTAAGTAATTAAGTAATTAAAATAAAAATGTAACTGCCCGAGTCTTGTAAAGATATGTAACTACTCAATGACCAAATATAATATGAAATATGGGATGAAATATTGCCCCTATACTTAAAGGGAGCTTAGAAAAACTGGCAAAATGAATGAAGACAGACAGTAATTTCCTGTCGTATATCTTTTTATCCTCGGAAATCGCAACATCTGGTACGCTCCACTGCGGAACTAAGTGGGAGTTAGCGTACAAAGGACCACAATTTTACAGTAAATCTAAATTTCCCATATGAATTGGAAGGGACAATAAAAGTGATGTCGTGATTTAGAATTATGTTATTATAACATATTTTAGTCGTATAAATAAACTTGGTTATTTAAAGATGCCACTTACTTATGAAGTTGGTGCAGGTACGAATAATACAATAATATGTATTTATAACAAAAATGTAAAAATACCGAATATTAAACCATCAAGAACATTGTTAAGACGAGTCAAGCGGGGGGTTAGTCATTCACCTTCGAGATTACTTTAAGCAAGATCCACAAAATGGCGTAATTAATTTAAGATTAATTAATTCCTTTTTCTTAATTTTACAACTTTCTCTATTTATTTGTTTATTGTAGTACATTAATCGTAAGTGACAGTATACATTAATATGACGGTATTGCACCACATATACTACAATGCTTATTTTTAGCGATTATATTGGCTCGACAATTTTTAAGTCCGATTATAAGGCACATGTCTAGTAATTTAAAAAAATACCGCTAGTAAACATAATATGTAACAGTGCACGCAAGTG